CATTTACACATTGTTCTTTTCTTCTTTCTTGTAGCAATACATTACTCACGTTCGTTCCCTCGATTTTATCAACATAGCACTTTTAATCCTCGATTTCCTTAGTAAACCCTTTCTTTTCCTTTCCTATTTTTCAACCAACTTGTTTATAAAAATAACCGTGAAATCAGAAAAATCATTCAAGGTAATTCATTCAAATTGTCTTTTAATTCATTTTTTTGATCTAGGCATGTCGAAAAACTGCTTCATTCGCGTAAAAGATGTTTGTATCAAACTATTGTCTCCGTCAAATCCAAATCTTTAGCTCTATTCGCCGAAATACGTATAAGCAAAATATGTAATAAAATCTTTTGTGCAATCAGATAGAACATCACTTGACGTGTATCTAGCAGTATTTGAAACGTTGTAAAGTCTATTTTCATTGTGTCACCTAATGTCTGCCTGGATGTACTCTGTGCTGCGGGATTTGCTGTTTCAATTGTCGATTAGAATGTTTATTATTTGAATCATTATGTTTCACGAGATTTAAAAAACCGACCCTCTGAAAATCTCTCGGAACCCTTCGAAATCGCATTTTCCTCATGAGGCACTACATCTGAATGCGCCTCGAGTTCTGAGCAAAATGAGACAATCCCGGGCTGTCCAGCGTCTTTCTAGGCTGAGTTATTGGCAAATCTCTTACAGGATTTCGAGTCAGCCGGATCACTGGAAGTGAAACGACCTTATCTCAGCCTAGAGGTATTCTAGAAGGCTCGATGACGTCTCATTATTTTCAAAAGTAATATTAATAATATCATCGAATGTTATATTATTAAGAAAAATTTCAAATGTATATTCACACTGTGTACTAAAATAATTGGAGTCCGTACAATTACATAATGAGTCATTATTCAAAGATGAACTAAATTTAAGATATTTTGCATAATCATTTTGTTTATCAACTGGTGCATACCATTCAATCAAATGTTGTTCAGTAGTATTTAACGATTTCAATTGATCAAATGTAATATTTCTACCGTAACATTGTGGTAATTCATTTTTCGAACGAATGATACAAGATGGTATTAATTGAAATGCATATTTTGATAAAGATGGTTGTTTTCTATTCTAATATTGATATAAGAGTATAGACAATCATAATTATCATTGATATGGTATAAGCGAAAAAGTCCGTTAGTTAATGTGATAAACAAGAGAAGGACTAGGATGATTCTCCCTATCCCATTTCTCACCGCTAGTACATTACTATGCATTTCAAAGATGAATGAGCCTGCTTATTTTTTTGTATATTGTTTTACCAGAAATATATATTATCTAAGTTTTTAATAGCAAAAATCCTGAAAAGTAAAAAACTGAATCGATATTTTTCACTAAAATTGAGTTCTTAGAAAAAAATCCAAAATTTTCCTCTTTTATCGGTATCATTTGAAGTGTCTGTTCGAGAAAAGGTTGATGAAAAAACATCACGCATAACCATTTTTATTATAAAAGCACGGATATATGCTTTTTTTTATCTTGCGTTATTAAAGTTTCTTCACTCATTTATATTGAAGATCGATTTAGATGGAACGTGACGATAATGTTCTCATGTTCATTGTTTACAAAATAGCTAAAAATGTCCATTAAAAATAACTCACTGTCAAAAAAAAGCGTCTTGATAAACAACTCGGCTGTCGTCCAAATGCGTCCACAGTGCGGTTTGAAGGCACGTTAAGTGCGTTTTCTTATCTTTTTATTATTAGTCGCCTTAATGATAAAACACCTCTAACTAACGAGGGAATCTCACCAACTGATACCCTCTGTTTGAGCTCATACTCTGCTCATAGGTAGGACTCATAGTGTAGATAAAAGCTCCAAAAGGATTCATCCCCTTGACTCTTGAAGACCTGGTTTTCTGGAAAAACAGTTTTTCAGGACGTAATGAGTCATCAAATCATGATTACCAAAATTTATTAAAT